TACCTGAGCTGAACAGCCTGCACGTACAACACATCCGTCAGTCGAGGCCGCACGCGAGCTATGCAGTTATACAGTTACACAGGCATCTTTCTCTTCTCCACTGAAAGCTTCTGCAACATCCTGGGCCAAACGACTGTGCAAAATCCATGACACATACCGAAATCACCGAAATCATGAAATCTATGTCTGTTGGGGCGATGGCATGCCAACTCTCTGCCGTGGTGCTTTGACCCCGTAAATTTGCTTCCCCTCCGGAGTTGTGAGCTGCTGCAGCTTCAACCCATCTTCACTCGGATCTCGATTGTGGTGGCAGGCTTTGTAGGAGTCTTTGGTGTAAATAAGCATCTTTCCAAGGGGCCTCATCCGTGTGATCACTTCACGGTCTTGAAACACCCGCCTCAGGTTGGGCCGACATCGTTCAAAGCAACTCACTTGCACCCACCCCCTAAAGTAGACTGCACCGCGCCACTACACCATCATCCTAGCCTATTCTGCACAAGATCTGTCTGCCAAGCAATCGAAGCCGCCCCGTGACATCAGCGCTGAAGTCTGTGGGGACTTTGCCACTCACCAAGATAGCGATCACCTTGTTGCGTCTCTCCAGGAAGAGTGTCTTTTCAGCTGGAGTTCTGGCAAGGGATGCCTGCAAATCCTGAGATCAAGAAGAGACAATGAATCAATGAGTCAATGAGTTAATGAATTGTGATTGTAGTTGATTCATGTCACTTTCCATGAAGTCGAGAAACAGATCCGTGATTTTGCTGCTGACTGGCACAAACCGTCACAAACCCGAGTGTGCACGAGGAGACGTTTACAACTTTTGAGGGGCTGAATTACAGATAAGAATCCGACCACAGCATCTCGCCGTACAGCAGCATATGAGTCACGTGGCAGTAAACGTCTTTACCCCTTCTGGGGAAGGAAAGCCGAGTACCGCCACGCACAGGATCGGGATCGCTTGAGGTTGAGTCGCAAACCGGGCACTTGTCCACACGATCGCTGGCGGCTGCAAGATAATCGTCATCTGAAGCACCATCCATCTCCGCATCTGCATCATCTAGCAGGAATTCCTGCAGAGAAGCGTCCAGCCTTGGATTGCCCATTCGATGGTATGCGGGGGGTTTGAGGTCAAAGAGCCCCGATTCGATTGCTTCACATGTTGCTTGCTTCTCACACTGCGGCAAGCCAAGTCTCATTGGTACGTCAAAAGCCATCTTTTCAACCACCGCTCTACGGGAGCAAGACTCAGACTAAGTCGACTAAGTCGAGTCAAAACCAAAACCTTCGAGCCACAAGCCGGACGAGTGAGCAATTGCTTGCCAGCAGATGTACAATGAAAACACAATCACGTATTCCGTATTCCGTATTCTGTATTTTCGAGAATCAACAGCACGCAGCGTGCACTGACACTACAGCTTTATTTGCGGATGCAGACGCGCAGCTTGTTGACTGCCAGTGGCATATCTCCGACGCCACGACAAAAGCATAATAATGTGAAGCCGTGAAGCTCTGGAAACTGGAACCGGAACCCTGATAGCCCAGATAACCTCTAAAAAATAATCCGTTGTGGTAGTTCCAACAGCACCTGAGCAACACCGATAACTCACAGCTCTACCGGCTCTAGCAGTCTACCAGCAGTTTTCCCGGCGACGTTCATGGAAGCAAAACTTGGAGTCCATGGCGAAGCAGTAAGCTTCCGCCTCTTTCGAAGTAGGGAACCCCACACAATGAAGTTCCGGGTGATTTTGGGCCGTTTCCCGGTAAATCTGCTTCGTGTTAGTCCACCACATGTCTCCCTGCACGCTTGGATATACCCACACAGCACTTTGCAAGTCAATTGACGTGGGCTTCGTCAAGGCTTGGACACAGCAGCTGAGCTCGCGTCCGTGGATCCTACCCAGCTCAAAAGCCCTGTCAATGCGAGCCATCGGGCTCATTGAAGCCTTCTTCGCAGTCAAGGTGGATGCGAGCTTCTTGAGCTTCTGCTGTGTCCTAGGACTCTGCTGATGCTCATCCCCCAACCAGAGATTGGCTGTCCTGTCGGCTCCTGCACTGATCAGTGGGTCCGAGTCCACATTAGGCACCTTAACGACATCGTTAGCGGCACTGTCGCTCTGATGTTCTGGAGGGCCTGCGCAGGCATCAGGCTCGCATGCCTCCACTAGCGTGGTGATCTTCAAGTTGCCCACTTGCTGCACGGTCTTGCTGATCAACTGCTCTCCGGCGGGGTTTTGTTTCATGGCACCTGGACTATCAGCTACGGCTAGGACGGACACGAAAGACCGAACCTACTAAAAGATGCGCTGCAGGGCAAGAGAAAAAGGAGTCATTGCAACATACATGGGCGTTCCAGATTGCGCAAGTATGCCAATCGTGCACGAGGAACAACATCATGACTCATGACTGAATCATGACTCATGACTGAATCATCACATCCTGTCACATCCTCTTGTTGCACAGGCAGTGGAGCATGGTCTGTTTGGCCCATTGGCACATAGTCACATAGTCACATCATCAAATCAGACTCACATCACATAGCCATGGGCCATGGGCCATGGCAGCATGGCCCCATGGGATCGAACAATGGACCCGACAAAGCTCGATCGGAAAGCACTCACCTTTATCTACCCGGACATTTGCTTACGATGGCACTGCCACTGGTCCTTTCATGCTGGCGGGTCCTGCAATCAAAACCTGCCATCACATTCATCACATATGAATTTGCATCCAATGCAACAACAGGACGGACGGTTCTCTAGTCTGCACGTCTGCCTGTACTGTAGACTGTATGGACTGTATGTTCCATCAGGCTGTTTTAAATCTGTTATGAACACGCCCAAGCTTTCACAAGATGAAAATGTTTCACATGATTTAGCGAAGCATGTTTTGGTTTAGGTTTAGGGTTTTGGGTTCAAGCATTGAGGCCGGGTAAATGATCGATATCTGATATCACTGATATCTGATATCTGATATTCACACCGGGAACCAGCAGATTTAATTCAACAATAATACAAGAGTGGACGGAGCATCCTTTACCGAAGGTCTAAAATTATAATAGCCGCTATAGCCCGTACGGACTGCGCCTAAGGACCCTAGTCTGTGCCGGGACTTTGAGTGCGTGCAGACATACGACCTGTAGCCTGTTGTGTTAATGCAACGGAGCTCCACATTTCCTGAGCGACCATGGGAAACGAAAGCCGGAGTCTGTCTACTCGGATAACCAGGATATCCGGTATTCGTTGGACTCGAAATGACATCTGAACATCCCACCGTCTCAAAGCTACAACTCGAGAAGATGTCAAAACTGAAGGGCTTTATAGACAACTTAGACAACGCACTTCGTACATAGAAAAATCTATATAATATATAATTGGATAGAATAATAACAATATATTATACTAATGCGTATATGTATGACTGTATGACTATATGACTCTGACTCTGGCTATGTCACAATGTGGCAGTGTCAATGTGTCATGAACTCGCCCAACCTTGCCATAAACCCGGCCCTTGCGCCGGCTTCCAGCCCACAGCCGCTGCACTAATTTCAAGAAGCAGAGTCTACCAATCCGCCGATGTCAATCTGGCGCGGCAGTTGCGCTGACTAGAGCAGCCCAAAGCTTTTTGTGTGTGTATATTCTAGTACATATTAGTATTGTATAATTATATTATATACCATATATATATA